GACTTAACATTTTTTTCTGCTGCTTCCTTCAAGACTTTCCATTTTCTAATTTCAAGCAATTATATAACTGATTTTCCTCTCAAAAATTTAAGATCATTCCCCATGTTGTTGAGCTACTCTTTTATTTGATTTATTTTCCCCTCAATTCTTAACAAACCTTTTCTGATATGATTTACAAAATCAGTTACCAACCTGAGTTATTAACCCATTTCGCTGATATTTTAAATGTATTCATCTAATTGCTGAGTTGTTTCATCCATTTCTTTCAATTATAGCTCTCTTTTATTAAGATTTGCCTCCTGGGGAATTGATTCTTACAATTCATCAATCCTCTTCAGCATTTTTTACATCTCTCCTGCAATTCTATCATGTTAATTCTACCAATCTTTCTACAAAATTTACATCTATAAATTTATTAAGTGTTAATTTTTCAATAAATTTCTAACTCTTTAATCTTTTTCTAAGACCCATAATTAAATGAGAGTTTTTTAACAAAATCGAGTAATTGTTTCTGTGAAGTTATTCAACGAAATCTAAATTATAGTTAATACTAAACCCTATTTAATTTTCCATTCATCATTTTTTTATTAATCAATAGAGAATTAATCCTATTGATTTGATTTGACTTCATATTCCTCATCGTTTTCTCGAAGGAATATTTTCTTAGTAAATTGAACTAAATAATCTTGATTAAATTAAATTTCCTAGAATTCCCACTTAGACATTTTTAACTTTTCTTTTGTTTCAGCCATTAACTTATAGAGAAAATCAACAATATTTGTTGATTATCTATTATTGTTGTCTGATTAATTTACAAAAGACAATATGTTGTTCTAAATTCTTTAAAAGTATTCTTAACTTGATTCTTTTTCCAATTATTATATATTATCAGTTACATATAGCGATTCCTTAATTTGGTTTATATGTTTTTAAAACCAACTTGAAAAACTTGTATACATTTCCTCGTAACACTCTTGTAGAGTAAAATTAGTAAGATTTTAAAGCAATTTGTTCAACTTTTGCAACACTTAAGTTGTTTTTTTTAGTAATATTTATAGAATGTTAATAATGATAGATAAATTTGTTCTAATTTTATTTTGGACATTATTTTCGTCCTCGAAAATTTTCTTCTCATCTTTATTGTTCTAATTATCATATTTTGTGTTAAATTCATCAAATTTTTGTTTTAATTCTTTTACTCTTTAAAAGATTGAAATTTGGAAAATTTCTAGGTCTTGGTTAACAGAAGCTCTCAATATTTTAACGACCATTTAGATCTGACTGATTAGTAATTTAAGTTCTTCTACTACTTCACAATTTTCTTAAAAGTTAATTTTTCTTAATTATAATAGTAATATCTCATACTTTTCTCTCTCAATATTCAATTAATTTTGATTAAGATTTTTAATAGTAATAGTGTCAATTGAAACATCTTTTATAATTTTCATTATTCTTTGAGGAAGAGATAAAGAATCGGTTTTTTCCATACAGAATTCGCCAAATTCCTTTTCGATTAATTCTAAATCTATTCTTTCCATTTCAATCATTTATTCTTCTAGAGTTAATTAAAATATACAATAATCTAAAATTCCTTTTTATGTTGCTAAATTATTTTGATAGTCTTGTTCAGTAATTTATAAGTTACTTAATTCTGCAATAGTTTATTTATAAAATTAACTGTCACAACAAATTATTCTTTTTGGATAATTCTTAACTACATCAAGTAGAAATTCATCTAAATTGATAATATTTTAGAACTATAAAAATTCTTTTGATGGTATTGTTATAATATTTTAAAAACATTCTTTAAAAGCAATTAATTTTAATTTAAGCTTTAAATTGTTCAATCTTTATTTTTTGATACATTTCAACCAAAGCTTGCTAAAATATTTTTATTTAATTTCTTTTAATTTTTCAGTTTTAGAAACAGACTCTATTTCATATTGTAAAATTAGAATTGTCTTAAAGTTTTCAATAAATTCATTAAATTATTTTTGAAGTTCTTAGATCTGGTCTTCATAATAACAATTTAGGTTATTCAATAACCATTAAAAGTATTGAATTAAGTTATCCTTTTGAAGAAAAAAAATTTCTATCTCTTAAACATATTTTTCACTTTCTTGAATACGAGTTAACATACATTGAGCTTCTTCCAAAAAAAGTTTCTAGTTTTGAGTTGCTTTTGGTAATGCAAGTAGCTTCTACTAGAACTAATGAAAAAATGAAAATTATTTATCTATTAGATTTATATGTTTAAATTCTTCCTAAATCAATTCAATCTCTTATTAAAGAACTGTGATTTCATCAGGTTCATTTCTCTTATTTTTAATATCCTAAATTGCTTAAGATAATATTTATTCTACTAGTTTCATCATATACTTAAGATGAAAAAAAAAATTGAATTCATCAATCTTTTTCTATTTAAGTTATTCTATCTAAAAAGTTTATTTCCTTTAACTATGCCCAATAATTTTAATAATTTTTAGAGTGTTTTGGAAATATTCTTTAAAGTTGAAAACAATTCGTTTTAATTATGAGTTATATGTGGCTTATTCTATTGTCTTATTAAAATAGTTATTTTCTTTGTAAAAATTTTGATAATTTTTAACTATGACTCCCAATCTATCATCATTTTCTTGAATTAATGCTAGTAATCTATTTGAAATAATGAAATGAAAAAATTGTTAAATTTTGCAAATTGCCTCTATATATCCATTTTTTTAGGGTTCCATGCTTCCTAACTAAAATTTTAGATAGGAACCAAATGTGAAATGGATATTATCATTTCTTTCCTTCAGTAAGAAGTCTTTAAGCACCATGAAGTTTTCCCATTCTTTGAAAGTGTCTTCTAGTATTAATTTATCAATTTAAGTTAATTATTTATTTGTAAATTAATTAAGTAAAATTAAAGCTTAGTCATTGCTATGATTCATTTAAATTAGAAACCCTTTGTTCAGATATTCCTTCCATATGTACATTGATTTTGCTTCAAGAAGGAAAGATCTTGTTAACTGTTTTAATTTTTATTTTGTTATAAGAGGATTATATGTTAAGATTTTTCCAATCATTTAAATCCACAAAAAATGATTCTCCCAATTCCTTGAATTTTTCACAATTTTATTATGTGTTTCCTCAATTTGTATAAGTATTTCTTCCAAATTCTTTTCGCCGTCATTTTTAAAATTATTTATGATCTCCCATTACAACATATCTATTGAAAAATAAACTTCATATTATTATCTATTTTTTTAATTCACATACTGATTGTAAAGCATGCAGACTCCACGAAACAATTATATTAGTAATTCAGCATTAGGTTTCATATCAATTATGGATTAAAAGATGCCATTTAAAAAACCTTTTAAAATATCATCCCGTTCTTTACCATCATTTGGGGCCATTTGAAATGAAGTTTTTGTTAATAAAAGGTAAAGTTCCAATTAATTTTGAATGAAATCATTCTTCTCTATTTCCATTTATTATTTTAATTCGTCGCAAATATC